GCATTTGAGTAGGCGTCGTCACGGCTGGCAGGAGAGGGCAAAGTGATAATGTTGTATGTGACAGTGGCCAAAAGTGATGATATTGTGCTAATTTGAGGCAATTTGGTAGACAATCCTCATGCCTGCGCGTATTGTTTGGCCATCCTGCATCGGACTCGTCTTTTGCTACGGGCTCGCGCTTTCTTCTCCGTTCGACAGTCAGCCGCTCTGCATCGCATTGGTCGCTGTATCTGCTCCCCCAATGCATCGCATCGGTCGCTGTATCTGCTTTCCCACTGCATCGCATCGGTCGCTGTATCTGCTTTCCCACTGCGCCGCATCGGCCGCTGTACCTGCTCTCACACTGCACCGCATCGGCCGCTGTATCTGCCCCCGCTGCATGATGTCATTCGTGCTGCAGGGAGCGGCGGGGGTGGGCACCGCAACGCCGCACCCCACCTCCCCTTCCCGCCGACTTTGACCTCGTTACACCGGGCGGCCGCGCGGCCCGGCGTACAACCGGCCCAGGAGGCTCACTGGGCCAAGGTCACGGCGGTTGACCCCAAGACCCGGCCGGCGGCGGCCGAGAAACACGGCCCGGCGCCGCAGCCGGCAGACCGGCCGAGCCCGCGCGCGGAAACACGGGCCGCTGGCCGGCGACGGCCTAGAAAGCACACGCGTCAGAGCTGCGAGCCGAGCGGGCTCGGTTTTTGTAGACGAATCCGGGTTTGTCATCTTTTCGACGCGACGTGCCATTGGCCGGAACTCTAGTCGCCTGGTCCGCCCCTGATCCCTGATCCCTGATCTGTTCCTGATCACACGGCGTGTAATCTCACATACAGGGGACTTCAGGTGCCTGCTCACCTGAATATAAGCTAGTGCTCACCTGCCAGCCTACGTGTGTCCGTACTCTGCCAGATCGGGCAGATCTGCCGTTACGGAGCGGACCGCCGCGGGCTCTAATGACGTCACCCGCCGACGGCCGGCGCACGGCCCAGCGCCTTATCGGCATCAGTGCTGCTCGGGTGGGGTGCTGGGTCACACGCAGTGTAGCCGTGTCCGGGGCGGTGCGACCGTTTGGGAGGCGGACCTGTCGCGAGTCAGCGATTTGTTGGAGCGGCCTCGGCCACAGGTGGCTTGTGATCGCCGTGGGTGACTGCTGTGAGCTCCTTCGTCGCCAGGGTGATTGTTGCGAGGCTTCTGCTGTCTGTTGTGAGGCTTCTGCTGCTGCAGCAGAAGATGTGATGCCCCTGTGAGGCTTCTGCTGCTGCAGCAGAAGGTGTGATGCCCCTGCTGTCTTTTGTGAGGCTTCTGCTGCGGCAGCGGAAGATGTGAGGTTTCTGCTGTCTTGTGAGGCTTCTGCTGCGGCAGCAGGAGAAGCATAGTGTGTTGCGCTGCGGCTGCTTGATGTCGATTGGTTGGCACGAAAGAATCCCCGTCCATTAAGCTCTCGAGGTGTTTGGCTTCCCTAAGTGTTGCTGTTTCTCAAGCATGGGGTTGTGAGCTCGCGTGGTTTATGTCTGTGGGGCGGAGTATCTGACGTGTTGAGTGTACCGATAAGGGCTAAAGCACTCCTCGCACTCAGAATGCGCCGAGACGCTGAGTTCGCTGGTCAGTGTCTGCAGCAGGAGATCCGTAGGGAATGCTTTGCAGAAACCTTGCGTGACCACCGCTGGTTCAGTGGGTTCGGGGCCCCACCAGCTTGGCGCAGATTGGGGTGGTTTGGAGTTCCTGTGACTTTAGAAATGAAGTGGGGTTGGTCCAGCCGACCTCGCCTGGTAACTCACTCGTCTCCGACACACTGGTCAAAAGCTTTTCACTGGTCTTGCCAGCGGCTGCGCTGGCTCGCGTGTGTAGATTCCAATCTCCGTTCTGTATTTGCTCGCCTCGCCGCTGTAATCCTCTCGTTGCCCGCCCGTCTGCACGTCGGCCCCTCCGTTCGCAGCTCAGTGCGTAGCTTGTTCTCAGCTCCATTCGTAGCTTGACCGGTAGCTCCATTCGGAGCCCCCGTTCCTAGCTCCGATGGTCCCTGGTCGCATCGCTCTTCAGTCCGTATCCGTCACTACAGCGGGAAGCGGAATACGAATCGGCGCCTTGTGACAAAGCTTCGCGAATCGTTGCGTGCATCGCTGCTTCCGTTTCAGGGGTGGTAATGTACGACATCCTGTTCTCCATCCCCTTCTCCACCGTGATCACGGCGGGCTTGGTGTCCGCGCTGTGGGGGGAGGGAGGGGGGGGGGGGGTGGCGTCCCGCATGCACCCACGCTGCTTTGTTTGCAGTTGTCTGGCGCCTCGTGATGTCAGTTTAAGTCTGCTGCCTGCACGGTGTGCACGGTGCAGTAGCACGGCCGCTCCTTGAAGCTGCGCTCGGGGCGGAATACCGTCCGAAGACACCCCCTCTCCCCCCCTCCCCCCCCCCACCGGGGCATTGGGTTCCAGGGAATGAATGGCCGCATTCGGGAACGGCGCCCGAGGTCCTCCGACAAAAAACGGGCGTGTTTGCTGGAGCTCCTGTGGTTTTTGCAACCCGCCATCGCGGCGATCAGCCCGCGGGTCGACGACCCTGGGCTGCCCCCGGACTCGCTTCACAGAGATCCATATGAGCCGAGTGCGGAGGTCGGTCCTCCCGTGTCGTCATGAATAACGCAGGCCTACTACCTGTAGTGGTTGGATTCCGCCGGCGGCGGCCATGGCGGTCTAAGCACGCTCGTCACGTAGACCAAACGGCTAAACGACCTGAAATTCACGGCACGACCAGTTGTCTCCACAAGACAGGCGAACAGTGGAATGCGGTCCAGAAAAGCTTACGCTTCTGATGCATTTACCGCTTTCATGCCACAGAGCATTCGAAACGTGTATTGGCTCTCGGCCGTAGCATATTTTGGTCCCTTCCTCTGTCGTTCATGTTTCTTTTTTGCGACTTTGATCGGTTGGTTTTGGTCCGCAGACTGGATTGAATACGATGCGCTGGATTTTCCCTGCACGGTTGGAAGTAGCAAGGTTTGGGAACGCGGTCTACGTGGAAGCATGTTTTACGGCACCCTTGCAGAGTATGTGGGATAGGCTCCGTGCACTACTCGAACCAATCAATGGCCTCGCTTCCGTCCAGAGTGTCCTCCGTGGCTACGAAAGGGAACGCGACAGTTGCCAAGCGGGGCTCCCACCGTGCATGTGCGCTCACCGCTCGAAACTGCGCCCGCGGCGGCGTGCCCGCGTGACCCCTGACCGGTGGTGCTTTTGTTCCAGCTGCCCAGCCGCGCGTGCGTCCGACCATGACTTCGACTGACCCCGCGGAGGATCTGGTGCCCTGCATGCGCAGCGTTCAGCTGTCGGACGACGACAAACAGCTGATGAGCGCGTTCAAGGACAAAGGTAAGACCAATCAGCGTCAGCCTCTCGCTTCCGGATATTACTGCGTGACGTTAGAATGGGCCGCCATCTTCAAAAGCCTTTTCGCTGGGGTCAGCATAAGGATGTCACCCCGATACCAGCTCCTCGCAGCCCACCATTATATCATGGCGTTTGAATCATCGATATGAGTCATCGATACGCTCTTTCCCACCGCGGACGGGCTGGAATGTTTTTTTTTCGCTCCACCAACCGGTCTGATGTATTCGCTGCTCCAGCAAGTAGCGGCAATACGTGAGGACTGTCTTTTCGTCTGCTTACAAAGCTTCACGGCGGCTTATCTCGCTTGAAATGAAAGCGGATATCCTGCCTGTTGCCGTGCACGAGACCTCCCCCTACACCACACCCCCCGGAGCGGGTTGACATACTCCAGCTTCACACGCGCTGCGTTGTGACCGCGGTCCGCACCTCGCCGTGTTTTGCTGTGATTTCCTCCGCAGCCGTTGTGTTGTGTTGTGTTCGCGGTCTGCACCTCGCCGTGTTGTGCTGTGACCTCCGCCGCGGCCCGTCTGCCGTGTTCGCGGTCTGCTGTGACTACGCCTTGCGGCACAATGGCCGCGCTACGGCGGACCACGGCGCGTCTGGCAGCCGGCAGACAATGGTTCGTGCGACGTCTCGACTGCAACAGCGGCAGTGCTGACGGTGTAGAGACGCGAGATGTCGGTACACTAGTGCCAGCGGCTCGGTCGCTGGCGGTGCTGGCGCGGTGCCGGAGGCTGCGAGGGCCTGCTTTACCGGTATCAGCAAATGTTTGCGCTCGTTGAATAATGTGAACGAAGGAACCATGGCCGTTGTCTGGCAAACCCTGCGGGCAGACAGCATCAGGGCGGCTGCCCTAGTATCGAACCAGGTCCTGGTGCTGGAAAACTGCTTGCCCAGTCGGTTATATTTTCTAGCGGTCCCGGTTTAAAAGCAGGAAAATATTGCCTCTGGGCGAAAGATGTCAGAAGTGCAGCGGGTTCAGAACACAGCGGCTCTGCCTCCCCAGGCGTTTGATCAGCTGACAAGCGGGATATTTCAGATACTGTGGGCGATGTGGGCTAGAGGTGCTGTAGCTCTTGGCGGTGATGGTGTGGTTTTTGATGGGATTCGATGGCTCACGTGAGGTAAGCCCTCCGACATGGAGCGGCAGGCCTGTCAGCTTGGCCGAGAAGCGCGGCCTTTTCGCCAAGCTGATTATCCCTGAGGACGCCATCGCGAGGTGTGGCCAATTTCCTTTACATGTCCACGGAGGCGTTCTTGTTTGCGACGCGATATTTCAGACAATTTGTTGTTATTCGGAGTCAAAAACGATCTGGTAAGCGATTTGTTGTTGTTCGGAGTCGCGGGACTGACCATTTGTGCATTACATCACCCTTTAGAAGCTTGTGTGAAAATCTAGCGATCATTTTAAAATGCATGGACATTAAAATTCATCAACATGTGGAATTTATTTCCCCCCCCCCCCCCCCTCCTCTCCTCCCACTCTCCTGCGTCGGAAGCATATCGATGGTTCTGCTTTTCGGTCTGCGGGACCTCCGGCTTTATAAAATGACAGCAGTTGCCGAGACATCCCTTAGCAATCCACAGTCATTGTATTGCTATTGGCCCGCCCCAGCGGCAGCGGTGAACGCTGTCGAGCTGCGGTTGCCATGCGCTACCGCCGGCCAGCTAGGAGCTGCACCAGCCGGCGCCAATACAGCGCGCGTAACCGGGCGGAACTTGGGCGGCGGTGGGCACGAGCGGCATGGCGTACCAGAAATACTCACCTCCGTGGTATGCCGGCGGGGCCCACAACTGCGGCGTACGCGGCATTCAACTGCGGCCGCCGGCGTGGCACCTCTCGTGTGCGCGCGCAGACTCTTCGGCGGCATTTTTCGAATGCAGAAAGCAGGCGAGTGGTCGCTCGTCCTTTTGGTTTCACGGGTGTCGGAGTTTCGTCTTTTGGTTTGGTGGCGGAGTTTTGTCTTTTGGTTTCGCGGGTGACGGAGCTTTGCTTTTTGGTTTGGTGGCGGAGTTTTGTCTTGTGGTTTCATGAATGTCGGTATATGCGAGGCATACCTTTATGCTGCGCGTTAACGTAGCGTATACCAAGTGAAGCATATAAAGCAGCTGTGCGTGTGCCCACACTGGTAAGGGTCAGGTCACGGAGTATATACATGGCGCTGGTGTGCGGGTGCCCACACTGGTAAGGGTCAGGTCACGGGGTGTATACATGGCGCTGGTGTGCGGGTGCCCACACTGGTAAGGGTCAGGTCACGGGGTATATACATGGCGCTGGTGTGCGGGTGCCCACACTGGTAAGGGTCAGGTCACGGAGTATATACATGGCGCTGGTGTGCGGGTGCCTACACTGGTAAGGGTCAGGTCACGGAGTATATACATGGCGCTGGTGTGCGGGTGCCCACACTGGTAAGGGTCAGGTCACGGAGTATATACATGGCGCTGGTGTGCGGGTGCCCACACTGGTAAGGGTCAGGCCATGAAGGATGTTCCGAAATGCACACTGTCGGAGGGTTGGCAAAACGTTGCGCTTCCGGTGAAGGGGTCCCGCTGGAATGTTCGGATTTGTTCTGTGTAATTTAAAACGCTCTGTCGCGTCTTCCAGTGGAGTAATTGGTATCAGCAGGTTCACTGGCGCTCGTGGCTCACTTTCTTACCACCGTCAAGTACACATCGACACCGTTACTCCCTATGTAGCTCTTGCAGCTCTAGCCCAAAAACATGTTCTTCGTTTAGCAGACCTGACCCTGCAGGCCCTCTCTACCCCGCCGCTTAACCGCCTGTGACCCCGGCTCGCCGACTGTGACCCCGGAATCGGTGACCTCACCCGGCGGTGATGGGCCCGATCATGGTCTGGACCGGCAACTGCCAACGGAAATAAACCGGCCTTCCCGCCCGCCGCCGGCAGAAATAGGGGGCCCTCCTCCCCGCCCCGCCGCCTCGCACCACTGCCCCGCCCCCATCCGCCGCACCGGCTAGACGGGTGTGACATCACCCCACCCCCCTGGGGACGACCGGTGGCAGTGATAAATGGCGCCGGCAAGTCAACAGGCGTCGCTCATTAACGGGCAATCAGACGTGCGGCGCCTGCGCTGGATTAAATACCGGCTGAATTGGAACCGTCATATCGTGATCGATAGTTCACGTATCGAGTATTCCAGTGGGACGAATGCGACCAGTGAAATGTCATGTGGCTTTGCAGCAGTATTCCTGACGGTGTACAGGCTGCGGTGTAGCTTCCAACCCGAGCCATCGGACAGCGAGCCTCGGCAGCGCCTGAAGCCATGGGCCGCGCTCGCGTGGCCGCTTTATGCAGACCCCTCGCGCAGCCCACCTCACCGGGGGCAGGCCGTGTCTGTCAGCTGCGAATCGGTCTCACCGCTGCCCGGCCGGGAGTCCGTCCCGGGCACCCGAGCACACCCCGAAGACAGGGCCCCAGGGCAGCTCGGCAGCGGACGCATGTCGCGATGGCCGCGTCTGGGTGGGATCTTGGTTTCCACAAATGGCTCTGAGCTCTGACAAAAATCAGATCGAACTCGCTTTTGCTATATCTCTTTTCGGACCCACCATCACCTTAAGTCTGTTTGCTTCGAGCTGGCGGTCAAAGGAGCAATGCCTTGCGCTCAAATAGCGGTTTGGTTATACTTTCATCAACTCGTGTTTCTCTCGAAGTATGAATCATGAGGAATCGTTCTTGTTTCCAAACGCATGGCTTTTTGCCCGCCACAGCCAAATTTTTGCTCGCATTCCTGAATTTAGTACGCTCAAACGTGTTAACGCGTCTGCCGGATTTAGTACTCCATCTGCCGGGTTTAGTGCTCTAAGACGTGTTGACACGCCCCCCGGCCCCAGGGCCCAATGTGTTTGTTTTGTTCCGCATGACGCTACCGGCCCAATGCGTCCGCAGAAAGCGCGGCGTTGCTTCAACGACGGAAAGGCGGGCCGGTAAACTGTTCGGTTATTTCTGAAGTTGGCAGCCCGCAGTCTCTGGGGCAGATGCTCCCATCTTCCGAGTTTCATGACTGACGTGGGCGGCGGTCGAGAAAAGACTGGCGGAGATCAAGTTCGCCGTCTGTTCAACTCGTCAAAATATGCGGAAAATGTATTTTCTGCATTGCTATATGGGCATGGCTGACTAAACGACTTTAATTGGAGACACATTAGGTGGTGTGTATCAGATAAGCATCGGTGTCCATCTTGGCGCTCGATTGTTTTTTGTTTGTTGTTGTTTTTGTTTTTTTTGCTGCATTGGAGTTGGTTTGCGTGATTTGCGTGATTCGGTAAATAGTCGAAAGGTGCGATTTTTCCAATATTCTACTGGCAGTTGGGATCTCACTCCCCGTGTTTAGCGATGCCCCGACTTGGATCGGGTCCAACCCTGCCGTTCCACCTCACCACGTTAGTACGCACGCGCCCGCCCCACCCCACCGCCCGTGTCGTGAAGGGCGAGTTTGGCCGGTCGGCCGGCGGCAGGATGGCCCGTGGCGGCCGCCCACGTGGGCGGCGTGGGCGTGCTCCCGGCTGGACCTGCCCTCGTCTGAGCAGCGGTGTCACTGCCCCGCCCGCCGCCCCGCCGACCACACCTCTCCCCGACCGCTCCCATCCAGACCCGACCCCAGCACGCCTGCCGCCCCTGGTAACGACTCAGAGCATCAGGGCACGTCTGCCGTCAAAATCTGAGCCGTATATCATTATACATCTTCCATTTCCCTACAGTTTTAAGGACCCATTTTCCCCGTGCTACCCATATTTTTTTGTCCCACGATCCTTTCACGAGAGGGGAGGGCGTGCCCTTTGCCCGCGTCGGCCACGCTGCGCCGCCACCCAGCTTTGGTAAGCTGCTCCGCAGTCGGTGACGGTTAACAGCGCGTCACACGTCGTGACCTCTCGGCCGTCACTCTGCAGTCGGTGACGGTTGACGGCGCGTCATACGTCGTGACCTCTCGGCCGTCATTCTGCAGTCGGTGACGGTTGACGGCGCGTCACACGTCGTGACCTCTCGGCCGTCATTCTGCAGTCGGTGACGGTTGACGGCGCTTCACACGTCGTGACCTCTCCGCCGTCACTCTGCTGGCCGGTTGTTTGTTTGGTCCGCCGAGCCGTGGCGTTCTCTGTGCAAGGAGACGGTCATGTGTTGGAGCTGGTTCATGACTCAACGGCGTGCTTTCGGGATGATTAGTTCCTGTTCTGTGCTGAAGAACTGAGTGTGGTTTTAATAATGACTCATGTGTGCTGCTGGTGCATGCCTTCTGGGTCGAACGTGATTTGATCATTAGTGTTCCGTTTGGCCTCGGCGAGTGCAATTTTTTTGCATACTTATATTTTGTATCCGTATTTCTAACCTTTCCTTTTTCTTTTATCCATGCAACTTCACATGGCAAGCAAGATGGTGGCATTGTGTCATTTGGTTGGATAATAGGATTAATTACTTTATAACAATAACAAGATGCCTCATTGACGAAGCCTCTTTGCTTTTCAAGTTATCGTAACCGAATTTTTTGACATCCATTATGGTGATTTTTCCGCACCATGGTGTTGGTAATGTGACATGTAATAATATGATAAATATTTTACTATATTTGAATCCTATATATATATATATATATATATATATATATATATATATATATATATATATATATATGCATGAATATGTAGATTTATAGATATATAGATAGATAGATAGATAGATAGATAGATAGATAGTAGATAGATAGATAAGATAGATAGATAGATAGATAGATATAATGATAGATATATAATATATATATAGATAGATATAGATATAGATATCTCTCTATATATCTATATAATATATATATATATATATATGCATAAATATGTGGGTATATAATATATATCTATCTCCTCTCCTCTCTCTCTCTCTCTCTCTCTCCTCTCTCTCTCTCTCCTTCTCTCTCTCTCTCTCTCTCTCTCCTCTCTCTCTCTCTCTCTCTCTCTCCTCTCTCTCTCTCTCTCTCTCTCTCTCTCTCTCTCTCTCTCTCTCTCTCTCTCCTCTCTCTCTCTCTCTCTCTCTCTCTCTCTCTCTCCTCTCTCTCTCTCTCTCGCTCTCTCTCTCTCTCTCTCTCTCTCTCTCTCTCTCCTCTCTCTCTCTCTTCTCTCTCTCTCTCTCTCTCTCTCTCTCTCTCCTCTTCTTCTCTCTCTCTCTCTCTCTCTATCTATCTATCTATATACCTATCTAGATGTTGTTGTATTGCCATATTGTTGTTATGTGTCTGCATAATGTATGTTGATAATCTGACCTGTGTGCTGTGATGATAGTTTCGTCTGACCTGCGTGTGCTGTGATGATGATGTCGTCTGACCAGTGGGTGCTGTGATGATAGCGTCGTCTGAGCTGTGTGTGCCGTGTGAAGCTCAGAGTGCGCAGTCTCCCCGCCGTGACGCCCCCGCCGCGTGTGTGCGTGCAGTGGACGACAGCGGCCAGTACGCGGGCCAGCAGCGGCCCCTCTACCGCGGCGGCCACATCCCCTCCAGGCTGTTCCGGGAGCTCGACAACACTGGTAACTTCGTCTGCAGCAGGGCAGCTGGCGGTGGCGGTGGCGCTGCTGGTGACGGCGGTGGTGGCTGCTTCTGGCCCCTTCAGGTCGCATCTGGTGGAGGCGTCGGTGCCGGAGGTGGTGGTTGATAACCCGTGGCGATGGCAATGGTTGACGGTTGTGGTGGGTGGTGGTGGTGGTGCTAAGCGGCGCAGGCGTGTTGGCTGCCTGTGGAGGTCTGCATTCCGTCCACTTTGTTTGGCTGCGTCGTGGTGATCAGTCTCTGGTGGCGTCAGCATCAGCGTGTTCGTCAGCCTCACATGCACAGCGGAGCTGGATGGACGAAGCAGCCGCCGTGTTCCTCTGCCGAGCTCGTAGCGAAGCGCTGACGAGAGAGGCCGCTCCAGACGTCCTCGGTCTGGTCATAGAAGCCGCTCCTAACTTCCTCGGTCTGGCCATTCTCCACCTACAAGTTGCAGTCTCTTCGGAGGGGGGGGGGAGGAGGTGACGCCGCGGACGTTGGCGTACGGCGCACTGCACGGTGCGGTAGCGCGGTGCAGTCCAAAGTCCAGCGTCCCAGGCACTTAGTCACCTTCACTGGACACTGGCAGTCGTTATGCTTGGCTCGGGGCAAAAGTTACGTGCATTTCGCGGCCTCTAAGAGTGATATGAAAGTATTTCGGCGGTCATTTCACGAACAATGAGGACAGGAATGCCGTTAACCGCTATATAGACTAAACACCAACACATTGGCAGTGTCTGCAGTATTGGAGCCGCACATGCACGTATGCTGTGAATTAGCGGGTGGAGAGGAACGAGCATGACTTCCGTCAGAATGGAGGGGCGTGGTCGGTGTGTCAAGCAAGGCTTCTTCAGCAAGTGGGTAGCGAAGAAACGTCAAGACGAGGAAGACGGCATGCAGCGTTATTTGTATTGACATTACCTTGACAGATGTGTGAGCGCTACATCCCTCTCCTTCAATCCATCTGACCTTCGCATGTAGGTGATTGCCCTACCCTGTCACTGACACCCCTGTGCTGATCTCCGACCCCAGCCTGGCCCATTGCTCTTCCCAGACCTCAGTCTCGGTGATGACCTCCGACCCCGGACTGAGTCTACCTGACCCCGTGCTGACCTTTGACTGGCCTCTCTTGCAGTGGACGGCGAGACCGAGTCGTACCTTCACGCGGAGGCCGACCCGCGCTACCGGGGGGGCCACATCCCCTCGAGAACTTTCCGAATCCTGCAGGCGGCCACCGGCGGCCCCGACGGCGGTAGGGTGCGCATGCGCAGATGGGTGTTTGTTGCTGCCGCCACCTGGCGCTGACCCGCCTGGCCGCTAGTGCTTGCGTCCGTCGATAGGGGGCCAAAACGCAGACCACCGGAGCCGCGCGCTGTTGTCGCAAGGATCCTTGTTTTTCCACCCGTAGCGTCAGGCATGTGCGGAGATTTTCAGCTTGAGTCCAGCTTGCGGGATTTTCAGCCCGAGCCCGGCTTGCGGGATTTTCAGCCCGAGTCCGGCTTGCGGGATTTTCAGCTCGAGTCCGGCTTGCGGGATTTTCAGCTTGAGTCCGGCTTGTGAGACCCAGCGGTGCGTCCGCCGAGGCACGAGCGGCGCCAGAATTTGCCGCAACCCTTTTCCAGCTGTCGCCGTGTGCCTCCATGCCATTGTTCTGTATTCGGCCGCGCACCGCTGAACAATGTCGCGTTTGCCTCTGCGCGTTGAATTCGCCCCGCTTCCAGGGAGCCTTTGAGCCTGCGCAGTGAATGTGTGCTCGGGATGTGTGCTGTAGTGAGGTTTGATTGCTGTAGAATAGTCAGCGTGCGCTTGAGGCTGCGCATTTCGAGCCTCCGTCCTCCGTTGGGTCGCGGTGCTGCTCCTGCATGCTGTCGTGCTGGCTCCCCCGGGATACCGCTTGGTGAGAGCCTTGTCGGCTGTCTTCCTGCCCGGGCTGCTAGTGGCTGTAGTAGTAGTACCCGCCTGGTAGTGTCTAGTGCCCGAACGTTTCGATCGTTGCGCAGACATGGTGTTCTTGTTGTCCGTCGTGTGTTATGTGTCAAAAGATATGTGCAGATAGGCCCAGGGCGCTCTACGTGGAATGATATAGCCGCAGTGTGTTGTGGCCGAGCGGACCTCTGTCGTCCAACCGCCCAAGCTGCGGTATACCGATCGCGCACGACCCGTCACCCACCGAACACTGAGTAACCCCGCCGGGGCGGCGAGCGTTACCCCCGTTTTGTGCGGTCAGTTTCAGGCGGCGCGCCTCCATCAGGCGCGAGGATAGGCGGACCGGGCCAGGCGCGCACCGTCGTGGTCAACATGCAGTCCGGTAAGATGTGAGACGGTGTCCGGTCAGGTGCGAGAGGCAGGTGCGTGGTGAGAGGTGTGAGATGCCGGATGGAGACTGGTGAGATGATTCCGAGATGCCAGATGATGACCGATGAGAGGCCTGTGAGATACTAGATGACGCCTGTGGTGGTGAAGTGAGGGTTGATTTTCGGTGCGAGTCAGTGTGAGACACGAGATGCATTCTGATGTCAGGCCTGCTGGGTGGGCCATGGTATCGGTTGGTATGCATCGGCATTGTGAGCTGCTGTCTGGTAAGAGCGCCACAGTACAGGATGGTGAGGGACAAGCCCGAGCGGGGAACCGCCGGGCTCGGGATCCGTCAGGCAGGCAGGTCGTGCAATGCCCTGGTGATGGGACTGTCACATCAGATCTTTGGATGCACCCGTCATGGGGGTTATTGAGGTGGAACTGTCACGACGAATCCTGGATCCCACGGCTAGGTGGCCCCCTGGGATGGATCGGTCCGGCGAGAGCGTGGGGAGGCAGCTGTCAGAGATCACTGGAAGCAGACAGCTGGGCTTCCTGCGTGTCAATGGGTAGTCATGTAGCATCCCTGGCAATACGATATTCAGCGCATAGAACAGACGAAAGGATGAGAGCCACCCTTTCACGGTCATTGTCGGGGGGGGGGGGGGGGGAGCGTGCCGTAGTAGCAGCACTGGCGGCGCTATTACACGGGGTGGTGCCTGAAGCCGAATCTCGTGCAATCAAGGACCTCAAATCTCGCAGCAGCAGTGTTGTCAGGGGCAATCAAATTTGTTTGTGATATGAACGGTGATCGTTCCGAACTGTCTCTAGCTGTTGCTACCATGCGTCGTGTTTGTTGTAGCCAGCAAAGGTCGGGACTGGATCCCGACGTATCTGCACAGTTCTGTTCTCCCGAACTGGAAGTCACGCCACCTTGTTTAAGCACGTGCTATTGCTATGCATTCTGCTCCGCTTTTTCTGCGACGACGACGCTGTGGTTTCCAGGGTGCTATACGTCGCAGCTATTGAATATTTCGCTTAGCGTCTTCTGCTGCATTTTTTTTCCTCAGCTAACCTGGACATTACGCCCCACAAACCGAACTCCTGAATTGACAGCCAGTCCCTCATTGCTATCATTGCATACACAGGCAGTATACTTCAGAGCAGAATTCATGCTGTTGTTTATTATGAGTCGTTTCGACAAAGGCATATTGCCTAGATATCAATCGATCAATCTCTCCATTCTTCTGGTTATTCGTATTGTACGAGGAATGGTATTATTGGAGGGATAAGGATATTAGCACTGTCTTGTCTGTATGCATCATTTTCCTTGCAAGTGCACATGACAACTTACGGAATGTGTGTCCATTTTACATTCCTCAAGCAGCAGCGTTCCTTCCCCGGCGCGGCACGATGGACCCCCACTGATACGAGGCTCGCTTCGAAGTTCTGTTGCAGCTCCTGTCCTGCTGTCGTGTTTCAGGCGGTGCTCAAGGTCAGCCGGTGCTCGCCTCTCAGCAGGAGATGCCGCTCCTTCTCTGAGACCGTGTCGTGTTTCAGAAGGCGCCACCGGCCCGACTGTGCACCCCTCTCAGCGGGCGGTACCCCTTCTGCTTTGAGACTGTGTCATTTCAGGAGGCGCCACCGGCTCGACTGTGCACCCCTCTCAGCAGGAGGTGCCACTCGTGCTCAGAGACCGTGTCGTGTTTCAGGCGGCGCTACGGGGCCGACTGTGCACCCCTCTCAGCAGGAGGTGCCTGAGCCGAAGAAGTACACGGGCGGCAGCATCCCGTCGCGTAGTTTCCGCGTGCTTCAACAGATGACCGCTGACGATCAAGGTATGTGCGCTGACGACCGACTGGTCCGCACTGCGCGCGGAGGGAGCGGCGTGTTGGCACACGATGGGGGAATCGCTGGGCTTAATGTCGAGCTTGAAAGAGTGTTTGTTGCGGCGGCTAGTGAGCTTGCGACTCAGCTCAACCGAGATAAAAGCTTGCCAATAAATGTCGAACAGACGGTGTTCCTTCTCTGATGTTTTGGTTTGTGTTCTTTCGTGTCCCAATCTTTCTTTGATAACTTGCGGATGTAAGGACGCATCTAAGTGCTGATTTCTACGAAAGCCACACTTTCAAACTATTTAAACATAACCGTTCTGACATCGATGCGACGAGCTTGCTCGATCATCAAATAATCATATTAGCTCCGCATATCTTCTTGTGTGCTCTCTTCGCTTCTCTTGCGTCAACGTGTTGTTTGCCTGCCTGCCATCTCGATCGGACAGAGCAGAGGTGAGTAGTTTTGGTGTGGTGCGACCCCTGACCGCTGACCTCGACTGCTTGCCGCCGTCAGCTGGCTCTTTTGTTCAGCCGCTCCCGTTGTCAATACGCCTCTCACGCAGCGACACCTGTACGGACGCACGGGGCTTGCATGAAATGGGATGCTTATATCCGTACTGCATGTTGGATGGTACTATGCATGCTGGGTTGGTCAAAGCATTGATATGTCTGAAGGACTTTCCATAGGCCTTCGGGTTGTCCGTATGTGCTAAATGACATGAATTAAAACTCATAGATTCGGCGTGATCTCGCGAACGGCGTGTAGTCAGCTAAAGGCGGACGTTTGTGTCGGAGCAAAGAAACTCACGCCTCTGGCGATAGAGGTCAACGTTGGCGCGGCTGGCGGTAAAAACACGGCCTTGAGGCACTTGGCGCGATGGGCGTCGCTCAGCCAATCCGGATGTTGGCTTTCATTGCCGCCGCTTTTAGACGGTGCGTCATGCGGCCGCGTTCAAAGCGGCGCCGGCCGGCCGACGTCTGACCCTCGGGCTGGGCCTCCTGGTGCCCGGCGCCGACTGGGAACTGGGCCAGGCGCGAGCTGCAAATCATGCGCGCCACGCACAGCCGTGCGCACTTCTGGCCTGCGTTGGCGAACGTGATGACGCCGGAGAATAAATCCCCGTCCTGCCGACGCGGCTGTCATGACGCAGATCGTGAGACAGTTGTGCGAGCCTTGTTTGGCGAGGACGCGGAGCTGGTGGCGGATCTTGTGACGCTGCCCGTTACACGTGGTAGCGCTGATGACGTCATCCATGGAAGTGTCATGCTGAGGGCAAGCGACGTTCCGCGGCCGGGCAGCTGCGTCGCCCAGTCCAGGAGTGCCGCTGCCTCGATGAGAATGGAACCCATACTTCGGTGTAAGATTGCTAAATAAATTCGTTTTTTATGTTCCGTTGATGACGGGGATGACATATAAGTATCCAAAAACTATGCGTAGGTGGGGGACACTCAATACGAATAGAGACGAAAACTCAAGAGCTCTGTCTGTTGAAAAGTGTATGCTTGTTTCATGTTTTATTTTCAGTATCGGTATCAGTTTCGATGGATAATGTATCATGCATTTTTATGAAAGCATCAACTTGAAGACTTTTGAAGCAACGACAAAAAAACTTCACGGCAATAGACTAGAAAGTTGTCCTTTGCTGACATTCCCGAGTCACTGTCTCCGGCGGCGTCGCCGGGCCCGAGGTGATGACGTCATCACAGTCCGCTGACTGCGTGTCTCCGGTAGCGCCGCTGGATCTGCCGGCTGGCGGCGCCGCCGGCCGCCGCATCTCGCTGCTGACGGCCGCGCTGGAGCTGGCGTCGGCGCCGGCCCAGCCGGCCCGCCCGGACTGGTGCCGGCTGGCCCGGCTCCTCTCGCCGCCCGCCGACAGCGGCGGCGGCAGCGGCAGCGGCGCCGGCAGCGGTAGCGGCGCCGGCAGCGGCAGCGGCGGCCCTAAGAGCGACGTCAGCAGCGGTAGAGACGTGCCCAATGGTGGCTCCGGCACCAGCAACGTCCACACCGGCGTCGTCATCAGCGTCAGCAGGGTCAGCAGCGTCAGCAGCGGCTTCGAGGACGGCGAGGAGCTGACCTCGTGCCCGTCGGACTGCGAGCTGACGGCTGACGAGGAGGCGGCTCGGGACCTCGCCCGGGACGGCCCCAGCGGCCCGCTGGGGAGGCGGCAGCCCGGCCACGAGCAGCCAAGCACACGAAACACTGCAAGTGACGACGGAAAACGACAGGGGTATGAGTCCTCTGAACGCGAGATACGAGAAAATGAGGGCCCGAGGAGGGTGGCGCCCGGTGCCAAGAGCTCGGGGCGGGAACCGCAGGACCTCAGAACCCTCGAGAGAGAGGTGCGGGACCTCAGCGCGCCTGAGAGAGAGGTGCGGGACCTCGGCGCCCCCAAGAAAGAGGTGCGGGACCTCGGCGCCTCCGAGAGAGGGGTGCGGGACCTCGGCGCCTCCGAGACAGAGGTGCGGAGCGGCCCCGGCTCGGAAGCAGAGGTGCGGAGCGGCCCCGGCTCGGAGGCGCTCTCCGATGACTCTGACACGATCGGCCGCTCCCGCTCAGCGTCGCCTGACGCCGAGCCTGCAGCCGCCGGCGTGTCCGCGGCGGAGCAGGGCCCTCCGGACCAGGATCGGGACCAGGACCAGCAGAACCGCGAGAGTCTGGAGGCTATGCTGGACGACCTGTGGGCCAGCAAGGCCGAAATGAGTGCGGGGGTTAATGACGGAGAGGCGCTGTTTGGCGAGAAGAGGGAGCGTCTGTTTGACGACTGGCTCGAACGCCTCGACGAGAGAAACGAGCGACTAAAGGCGATTGTGGCGCAGCCAGCGGCCGGTGATGGAAACAGTGAGGCGATGGTGGCGGCGCCGCCGGCTGATACGCGAACTATTGACGATCCTGGCGGGGAAAGGCAAGAACCCCGCCAGGGGAATTCTACGAATGCGAGCGAGGACAGCACGGCAAGCAGTGTGCATGTGAAAATAGGTCGTGACACGGCCTCAAAAAAGCGCTCTGGACGTACGAAAGTACGATTTTCTTTGAGTAACGAAGCCAATGGTGAATCGTGGATCCCTGGAGAATCCGAAGACTTCGAGCCGCGTCAGAGACCAGAGAGTGATATTAGTTGCAATGATGAGTGTGATCAGGGGAAAGTGGTGGACCCTCCATTGAAAGAACAAAGGATTTCAAGAGGTCGGGATGCTACGGAAATAGAAATACAACCGAAGAATTCATGCGGAACAAATCAGCTGAACGTGATTCAACGCAGTCGCAATGGCAACCTTCCAAACAGTGCCGACGCAGACATTGCATTGAAAAATAAATCGAAACGGACTTCGAAAAGGAAGACGCGCAAACATATCGAATCGGATTCCAACAATTGTCCTTCATTATCACCGGATAACGCCGGGAAAAATGAAAAGATTGTGGATTGCTGCACAAAAGGCAGCTGGGGCTCTGGTGCTGATCTAAAAATGAATGGCAGTGTCGAGCGAGTGTTGATACGATGCGGTGATGATATTCTGAACTCTGTGCTTCATAGTGGTTGGGGGAATCCGCATGGCCGGCTGTTGCGGCCTGCGACTAATTCTAATCGCAACTTGCAGGTACCACCTGCCACTAACACTGGTTATTTCGGGTCACAAAGGGTAACGGTGAAAGATTCCCTTCCCGAGGTGAAGGATTTTGTCGCCAAGGTGAAGGAATCTCCTTTTTACCTAACGTGCGGGTCATCCAAGGTGCATGTTGCGCCGGTGAAGGATCCTCCACTCAAGCCAGAGCATGACGACTGGAGGAAGGGCCACGTGACCTTCCAGTCGGCGCTGCGCTTCTTCCGAGAGCAAACAGACGCCGACTCCGACGTTCCCCAACAGATGGCAGCACGACGGCCACCGGCCTCCGCGGACGGCCGCCAGGCGGCGGCCCGAGCGCCGCGCTGTACCCCCGCCCCGCGTGTTACAGGGCCAGCACCGGCTCACCAGCCGAAGGAGCAGCCTCGTCGCTCGCCCAGCCACTACGCGCACAACGGCGGCGCGGCCCCGGCGGCGGCGCCGCGGCCGCCGGCGCCGCCGCCGGCCAGCTGCGTGCCGACGTGCGAACGCATCGAGCGGCAGCAGCGCGCCGAAGCGGCGGCGGCGCCCGGGCGCTACGCCGGCGGCAAGATCCCCTCCAGGGCGTTCCAGATGCTGAGCAGCGACTACCCGGCGGAGGGCGCTGACAGGCCGGACGGCGCCGAGGCCGTGCTGGGAGAGCTGCGTGCGGTGGGCGCCGGGCAGGTGGCGCGGCCGGCGCGGCCCGGTGCCGTGCCCAGCCGTTCCTTCCGGCTCCTGCAGCAGGAGTACGGCGGCCAGGAGCAGGAGGCTCGCCGGGAGCCGGAGCCGGAGCTGGAGCTGGCCAAGCCGTCCGAGCGACAGAGGCTGGCCGCCACATCCAAGACGTACCGCATGCTGCAGGCCGACCCGGCATCGGTGCCATCTGTTTTCGGGAGGAACAGGCGCTAGTGTGGGCGTTGGCCGCCAGATGGCTGTCATGGCCTCCCCGCCGCGTTTGTTGCTGCGCTGCTGCGGCTACCAGCGACATGGTCGTTCGCTGCTACATACTTTTGAGCGCCATGTACGTAGGTTTTAATCGCAAACCGCCACGCCAACCCAAGTCTCGGTTACGACAGTGTTGACATACGTGTGTGGGGGAGGGGGGGGGGGGGTGATGAGTTCCGGGAAAGGCTGCCTCATCTTGCTCAGATGCGCGCCGTTCTGTGGAACCCTCCGTTCTGCTCGCAATGTGGGTTAATGCTACGTGCGCACGCCTGTTAATGCTCATCGTTTGGAGTCCGTATGAAGGTGGAATTACTAAGTTGATGGCCAGGTGGCGTCCATTTCATTTTTATTTATTTACCACTGGTACGTCTTTGCGTATTTTTGTACATAAATGACTGCATCCACCGGTGTTTGAATCCAGGCTGGTGCCTAGTGCGGCAAGCTGTGGATCCGACTCATTCATGTACATGTTGGCTTTGCATCTTCCTAAATCCAGTCCTCTATCCAGCGATGTTTCGAATCAAATTCAGTGTGACAATATTACGGACGGGAACAGTTTCGAAACTTTGGGATCAATCGAGGATAGCACAACAAATGCCTCCAAGTCGCATGAACGTGGAGGTAGCAGTATGCTGCAGACAGGCAGTCTGTCGGCTATTCAACATTTGATAGGTGATTTAAGAGCACCCAAGTGTCGGATCTAAGAGCAGTCAGTTTCTTCTGAGCATGCTGTTCGGCCGCGTCGTTCAGGCCTTTCCTCGGTGCACTTCACCATCATCTGCAACGTCAGTTCGCACGCCATTCTGATGTCGGTTTGGGTGCTCTGACAGTACTTCACGGTTTAGCTCACGCGCGTTTGAGTGTTATTTTTTCTAGCAGTCGCTTGAAGGTGCAATTCAAATCCCTTTCTAAGTGGAGTTTGCGAAAATTATGTTAGCTACGTGTTTACAAACGTGTTAGCTACCAGGAAAAGGATTGACAGCTCCAAAAATCCAATGTCATCGCCAACTACTTGGTTAGTTAAATGGAGTGCTCAACATGTGTATTTGGCTTGGAACTGCAAAAGTCATCTTGAAGATCATTCGTTTCACTTTACAGCCCTGCCATCTTGAGACGTAAACCCCTCCAGTTTCTGAGCAGCACGCCTACGAACATGTAAAGACTGTTTCGTGCAGACTATTTCAGTATCACCCAGGTATCCATGACGCCATACTAATGCCATTCAAATCTTTCATTTTATTGGTCATGCAGCGATTAAGGTAAAAAAATAGGATTGTCGAGTTATTTATATCTGACGTTCGTGAGCATGATTTCCAGTCATAATGGCTGTTCACTGGCTCTCGATCGATGTTCCGTAGGGTATGATGACGCAATCAAGCAACGACGTGTTGAATAAATATATAAATATTGTGTTGTCGAGGGGCAGTCTTTTGCACTTAAAAATACACCAATAGCTATAAGTGAACTTATTTCAACATGTCTGACGCTTGATATTATCAAAAGTGAAGCATGTTATCACGTCATATTATCAAATGTGCAACGTTCCCTTTAAACCATGCCATGAAATCGCGCTTGAAATCTGGTATTGTATGGATGTGTCAAGCGGCAGGGGTTTCCTGTATTCTCTGCCTCGGACAAGTCACAGATCTAATTTTTTAGTTTTTGTCGGATCTTTTTGTTAAAAGTTTATCAGAATAATGATATCGTGACAGGAAGAGACCCCAATTTTTAAATTACGTTGGAGGCCAGGTTGAAAATCTTGAACTGTCAGTCAGCTACTCGTGTATGGTGTAGGTGGGCGTCGTTTCGGTTGGTGCGATCAAGACACGAGATGAGGAACGTCGCGCACAACATACAAGGTAAAGGCGCCTGGACACGCTCTGTCGGACGGGAAACGTGCACCAAGCAAAACAAACAACTCCCGTGGAAGGTCTACGCAAGGCGATAATGCTTATCCAATTTATAATCTTTCCTGTCTAAAACGAATGATCTCCAAGTAGAGAGGGCAACGCTAGTTGGACCGGCAATCCGGGAAGACAGTCCCCCTCCCCCCCCCCCCCCCGCTGGTCGGAGCGTGCCTCGGCTCCTAGCCAGACTAGTATAACCGGAGGATAGCCCCCCCCCCCCCTCTCCCCGCCGCCGGTTAGAGCGTGCCTCGGCTCCCAGCCAGACCGGTGTGACCGGCGTTGGGCGGCGGCACCATGTGTGCATCTGTCGCCTTCGGCGGCGGTGGCGTAACGGCCGTCCGCGCCGACAGCAGGGTGACGCCGTCCGCGCCGACAGCAGGGTGACGCCGTCCGCGCCGACAGCAGGGTGACGCCGTCCGCGCCGACGGCAGGGTGACGCCGTCCGCGCCGACAGCGGGGTGACGCCGTCCGCGCCGACAGCAGGGTGACGCCGTCCGCGCCGACAACGCGGCAGGGTGGCGTGCCTGGCCTTGACGGCACGTCCTGACCGGCCCGCGCGCGGACCGGCTCGGCGACCGGGCAGGCCATCGTGGCACCAGTAATATGGTGGCTCTCCTTCCTTTCATAACCCCGAATGTCGCCCGTATATATCGCTGACGCTCCCGGGACGGTCCGGCGCTCATGGCTCTGGCGGCGCCCGGCCGCCATTCTGCCGCCCGCCGCCGCGTTCCCACCCGTCCCGCCGGCTGCCACCCCGGTGGCGTGTCTCGTGAGGTCCCCCCTGCTCCAGCCCGGCACGCGCCGAGCGCCGGCACGCGCGGCGCTCGAGGCACGCTGCCGCTCATCGCCGTGTCGGCATCCATAGGCGTATCGGCATCGGCAGGGCCAGGCTGGCGAGTCGGCTGATTTGTGATTGGCCGCTACAGGCGTCGACTTCGTTTTGATTAGTGAAGAGATATGCTGGGGATATTAAGATGACCATCTATAAAGAACAGTTGATGTGTCATGCCTAGTGTCCAGTACAAGTGTACTAGAATGTTTCAGCAGCGGAAAAAGAGTGGAGTTCCGGATGTTTTTACGTTTTGCTCCTCACGTTTTCCAAACGCGTCGTGAGATGCGGGGCGCAGCGGATGGGAGCAACCGATCCGAACTGATCCCAAAGCGAATAGTGGTATGTAATCGCATCGATCTCCACGGCTTTCCAAACCGTTTGAAGCTGTAGTCAACTGAAACGCCTATCATCGCGCCTGCATTGTTATCTTTCCTTCTACCCGTTCAGTGTTTCGGCTGCCGCGCCTGGGTCGCATGCAGCATCCACAGCTCTTAGCGGACTTGTTTGCATGACTTGTCAGTTTATTTCTCAGCCGGGACTCAACCAGTAACTCCTGTCGTTCTGCGCGGATTGCTGTGATACGATGCCCGCATCACAGTTCTCTCGTTGCGTTTCAGACTCGTGAAGAGGCCAGCGAGGTGCTGACGGGATAGCGAGACCAGCGAGGTCGCTGCTGGAGCAGCACCCCACCCGTCTCCCCGAGCCGCGAGCCAGCGACGTGCCTGCGGAGCGCGCGGTCGGCGGGCAGGAGAGCGTCCGCGCGTCCACAGCCCGCTCGCGACGAGCCGTAGCGACGAGCGCCGTCCAGTGACGAGACGGGTTGCGATGGTGCGGCGGATGTGACGCGGCATTGTCTGGAAGCGCGCAAGTGAAAGCGCGAACCCGGCGCGGCGTTGGCGCCGATCGGCCGGTTGGTGGCGTGTGTCGAAAAGCGCTGAACATGGCCTCGCGGAGTGTGTGGATCTGAACTGGCCCGCGACTGTCGGCTGGGTGGAATGCTTGTTAAGCACCGATCTTTAGCTCGTGAGAGAAACATTGCAGCAATTACTCCGTCAAATTGTACTACGGAACTATAATTTGCATTACTTGACCAAACCCGGTGGTCACTAGTTTTACCAAACCCGGTACCGTTGGTCCCAATGCGCTGGACCTGCACCGTCATTGCAGGTCACTCCGCGACTTCTGCATTTTCATCGATTGAGTCTGTGTGCCAATCTGGCGGCCGAGCGTCTCTCGCTGTTGACCGCTACCGCTGTGTGAAAACTCGCCGGTAGCTCCGCGGCGGCTTTTTCACATTCACCCAGAGGGACGGTCGCAGATGCCGTCTTCTGCGCCGGCAGCGTCCGTTTTGGCAAGGCGCCAGCTGGAAGCCTTTTCGCGCGCGACGTCTTCGGCTCAAATTTTCGACAGTGCGACGCTGATTCAGTCCTGGTTTTCCGTGTTGAGATGTGTGATGTGGACGTGAGAGTGCTTTTCGGTGGAACGCGGCCCAGCCTAGCCTAACCTACGTTAGGTTGGGTTAGGTTAGGTCAGATGTGATGAGACGGAACGGGCTCGGTCTCGCGCCATCTCCTACGCGACGTGTACTCTGGCGTGCTGTGTACACACAAGGTAATCTGGCGTGCTGTGTACACACGGTGCTGCGCGTGTGCTGTAGCCCCGTGTGTACGATGCGGTGTTTATACGCGACGCGTATGCTGCTACGCACACGCAGGCAAGCTGTGTTCACGCCAGGCGCTGCGTGCGCACGTTAGCGCTTTGCATGCACCACGAACAGCGCCATGTGCACGCTGTCGCTCTGTGTTCGCACCGCGCGCGGCGCTGTGGATGCGATGTAGTGCTGTGCACGCGCCACTTATGGCGCTGTGCTCGGCGCTGGCCGAGCGCGGCCCGGAGGCCCCAGCCGACGTCGACTGTCAGGATTGTTTCTCGTTTGTCGTGTGGGCGGCGTCACTGCACGGCCGCTGTCTCGGGAGATGTGAGCTTAAACGGCGCCCGAGCCTCGCTACTAACAGGTCAATACAGTTTCGGACGGCGGCCGGGGTCATGAGACGGCTGGAGCTCCGCGGCGCGGCGCGGAGCGGCGCGGCGGAGGCATGACATTCATTCATTATATCCACTCAGCTCATTCATTCATTACATTCATTTATTCAGTATGTTTGTTCATTTAATCATCAAATTTATTCATTTAGTACACTCATTCAGATTGTAAGAGGACAGTCATTCAATCGTGCCGCAAACGGCGGATGCGGTCCTGCGGCTTGGTGCTCATCACTCACGGTGTAAGTCGCGGAAAGTGCATAGGCATGCAGCACGCGATGTAGCTGGCCGTGCTAGCAATGCTTCAGGCTGCATCGGTGAGACGTATTTGATAGTGAGCTAACAACCCAGGTGGTGAAACGGTTGTGCCTCATTGTTGCAGGAAGATGCCATTTTTCAAGGTAGAATTTAACAGAACAAATGCACAAAGATGGATGCGTATAGGATGGACGCGCCCGATTTGTACCGTAAAGACAGTCTCACCTAACTATATCCTCAATAGTCCGGATTTTCCGTTTAGTATCGGCGCGGAACTTAGTTTGATTCTATCTCTCTGCCGCCGAAGTATTCAGTATACCTTGTAAAGAAATCGCGTTTGTGGCTCTCGCCTTCTAGATGGGGGGGG